TTTTGTAGTAAAAATATTTCTATCTTAAATACAATAAAAAAATTCATGATAATTATTTTTCTTTTATTTTATTAATTTATATATTATTAACTTACAAATATTGCGAAATAAATAGAAGTTATTTTGATTTTCCATTGTAATATAAGTTAAAATAGTACAGCTCTATTAATTCAATTAATATATATTATATCACCAGAGTATAGTATATAAATCTATATTGCATTATGTATTAAAATACTTTTCTTAAATAGTGATGTTCTAATATACCATATAATAGTCTTTATAGTTATCCTATGTGTAAAAAATTGATATTATTATTTTTTTATCAAATTGTAAAATTCTATTATCATACATAATATTGTGACATTTGTTACCTGTATATGTAAAAATATTGAGAATTTAGAACATATTCTAATAATTATAACCAAGGTAAACTATATATAATTTAAGAAACTTTATTTTATTAACGATAACATGAAGAATTGATTTTTTTTATATGATATATAAAACAATTCATAACTATGTTGCATATAATTTCACTCCATGTGAAAGAAAAAACTGATAGGAATCCATATATAAAAATTTTTATGTAACTCATTAGAATTATATATTTATTTATATGTATTTAGTTAGAGAGTACATATTGTAGTTATATGAGTTATTTGTTTTATAATATCTGCGTTTTTTGAATTAGTTATTTAATTTAACCTAGATGAAATATATGTAATATATGCTAAACTCATTATATTTTGCATTTTCTTTACATTACTTTAATTTATAATATAGCGAAAAAGAGAGATACATTTAATTATATAATTGTTTAATATTAATTGTAACATATTAAAAAATTGTTACTTTAAGGCAATATTTTAATAAAATTTTAAACGTATTAATTACCGTAATCATATATAAATAAATCAAAATATATTAAATATATTGGAATAGAGTAAATATAAAATAATCATTACATTCATTAAAAAGGCATAATATATTTTTGTTATAATTAATACACCAAAACAGGAAACATATAAATATTAGGATATTAATGCACGAACAAATCTTATTATAATTATATAATATAAAAAATATCAATTATATAAAATAACATTCTTTTGTCATTCATAAGTATATATATTATTTCTTAAAAACATTTTTGATTATTAAATAAGATTCCTATATATTTTTTTACTCTGCAAAATGAAATATTCATCCAATATGCAGTTGAAAAAAGGATACTCAATATTAAACGTACAATTTGAGTCATATCATTCAGAATAATTTATTATAGTAATACTCTTTATTATATTTGCATAATAAGGAAGTATATATTTAAAACAAATGTTGTTATTTTTAAAACTATATATATATATATATATATATATCACGTTGTGTGTTTTTCCTATTTAATTTTATACATTCATTATATTGAAAAAAATGTAATTTTAACGAAAACAATACATAAATAAAAAATGTAAAATAAAATATATAAGAGATTTTACAAAATATATTTTATTATTAGTTCAAATTGAAAAAATAAATGTATTCATTATATTATAAATTTTATATTTTATATTTTTGTAGCATAGTGTGTTATTATGTCATTAAATATTCAATTTTTGAATAACCTATAAATCACTATAAATATTACAATACATGTAAGGTATAAATAATAATAGAACACCCTATATTATAAATATATAAGTGAAAATAGAAGTGCTGAATTCAAATAAAATAAGGTTTTATTATACCTATAATATACAAGGAAAATATGAATAAATATATATTGATATATACATTGTATCTAAAATATTATAAAATATTAAATAATTAATGCGTTCAGTATAACACTTTTATATGTAACTAATATAAATTATAATAATTCATGCAATTATTGTATTAATTTTTTATATTACAAAAACCATATCACTAAATGTAAAATAATATATAATCAGATATCATATAACTTTAACTAGGAATTATGCACATTATTATAAGAAGTAAAATAAATGAAAAATTTAATATGTTTATATATATATCCAATACAAGAGTTCATATTAGTGTTATATTTTTTCTTCTTCTAATTGCTGTATTAATCAAATTTTTTTAATTTTACATAGAATGATATGTTATATATAACACTTCAAAAAGTACTTATATGTTATTTTTTTTAGGTAATATATTTAAATTTTCTATTTTTTGATATGAACAAGTAAAATAATACGTTATATATGGGAAAACATTATTAATATATTTTATATGGTATAGAGAACATAAATAAAATTGTTCGATAACATTCTTAAATGAATTCTATAATTTAATAAAAATATATAAAATATTTTGTTCATATGCTGTTTCTTTATATTTTAAAAAAAGTATTTATATACTCAAACATTTATTATTTTTTATTAATTATCTGATAAACAGTGTAATATAATCTAAGATGGGGAACAATATTGTACATTTTAATTATTTCCATATATTTTAGAGCATTATACTGAAACATCAGCTTCTACATATACATTTTTAAATGCATTATAACAGAATATAATTTTTCCTAAACTATTGTTTTATTCTTATTTTTAGTTTGAACCAATGGACATATTCTTTTCCGAATATAGTGAAATTATGGATGAACATAAAGGAACTACTCTTGTATGGAATGGTGATTGCCAAAAAATTAATGAAAATACCGTAAATATAAATATTTCTGGCATTAAAGATAATATATGCCATAAAGCTATGCCGTATCTATTGTATATACATGATGACTTTATTAAACATAGATATAAAGAAGGATTAAAATACTTGTATTTTTGGCTATGCAAGGAAAGACTAAATGATGTAAAAGATAGTGAAACTATAAAAAAACTTTATAATGAACTACTTAATGTATATAATAACAGTGAATTTGGTAGAATGAAACATCCATCTCTTGTGGATAATATTAATGGTGATGAATGGAAAAAAATTACAGATATATGTAATTTGAATATATATCTTAATGATGTAAAGGAATCTATATCTCAATCTCCTATGGAAGAAATCAAATGCAATTGCGCAAATGAATGTGCTCAAATATATATGGGTTATGAGGAATTATGTAAATCCGATAGTAAGTCTTATTTTTGCAAAACCTTAGAAAATATAAGAAACGTATATAATAATTTTCCACAATTGAATAAACATTGTACTAAAATTATTTTCAATCAATTACCTTCATTCATAAATCAGCACCAAATTATACCTAAATCCATGAATCAGCAAAATAAGATACCGTCTTTCAGAACAAATAAATCAGGTACTATTATAATTCTAACCCTTTTAATATTACTAATACCCATTTTTTTATTTGTTGTGTATAAGGTTAATTGTTATGTTTTTATATATATATGCATATATAATAAAATGATTTCTCAATTAATTTAAAATCAAAGAAAAAATATGCTAAAAAAAAAAAATATATTATTAGTACAAATTTTTTTTTTTTCTTAATTATGAATTAGTTCACCCCATATGACTCATTCTTACGTCGTGTAATAATAGGGATTAAAAACATGTGTCATACTGTCGATAAGGGATGGAATATGTTTGAGCCTAATGATATGTCCACAAATATTTCACGGAATAGCATATATAATATATTACATGATTCTACCAATTTTTATCATTAAATATATAATTTTAATAATATTTTTGACTTATTAAAGACTTAGAATGGTACTAGTATATTATAAGAAGAATGCTTCTATTAATTATGGTACGTAGAATTTAGTAATTCCTAAATTACAATATTGCAAAGGTAGAAATTAATTTGTCAATTTAAAAACTCAATATTTTAGAACATTCTATAATGGTATAAGTATTTAATAAGAAAATATGAATAAATAATGCACCCTTATAAATTTTATAACCTATAGTTTACATGAATAGTATACTCATGACTTATAATTTACATATTATAGTCAAAATAATATATAGTCTAATATAATAAATACATACTAATTAAAAATTTTTGTTGTAATTTAATTCAGCTGATATAAAGTTAATTTAAATAGATCATGCTATTCTATAGTTTAACATTATTTAACTGCCACCTTAAATCATGATGTACAAATGAATGATTATTATTTAATTATATCTCTTTTTATTACTTTTGTAATAATATTCAACACTAAGGACATCATATACTCCTATATATATGATAACAATATGTGAAACACTAGTACAGATAAGTTTATTTTTATATATAAGTACAGGAATTACATATCATCATTCATTTTTTACATATATTGTTTATTCATATTGTCACTTTTTGCACCAATTTATGCTTTTATTAGTGTTTTAAGAAATCTTCAAAGTATTTATAATTTATTGGTACTATAATAAACTTCAGTATGCTGACATCATCATTGAACAAGTTAAATGAGAGTATACAAAATTTTTTTTTAATTTTATATTATCTGTACAGTAAATATATATATTCATTAAATTAATGAGTCATCTGAAACATAATTTTATCACATAATTATTTATTTTCATAGAATTTTATGCTATTTCGTGCATAGTTATAAAAAATAGAAGATATGTGTAGTGCTACTTTGTATATTTAATATGCAGATTAATTAAATTTCCTTATAATAATATCCCCTAATCTCGAACACATTTTTCAATACACTATCTTTGATTTTCTTTCTCTTTTTTTAAAATGAAATTTGATGCATCATTAGAGCTTCCTTAATATTTATATATTTTTTATTTCTAATTTTTTCAATTATATTAAGTATACCCTATAATTATAATAATGAACTACATTATTACTTGAACTTAATAAATTTATTAGAATATGCCTATGTGATACCTTTGTCGTTACTCATCTTATAATATATTTAAATTTTTACCTGCTTAATGTGTGTATCCCTTTCAATAATAATTGTTGTTACATTTAATATTTTATTATTATTTTTATATTATGCTAATCTTCAATCAAAATATACCAGTCTAAAATAAGTCTAGTATAAAGAACTTTTAAGTATACTACATTTTTATGAATCTACTGTCATATAAATATTCTTTTGCTTTTACAGTCTATAATTAATATATTATCGTTATTATAATCCCTCTATTTCATTAATCTATTTATTCCTATGTTTTTTCTATTATATTATGGGTTCCTCATACAACTCTAGGAGTATTCATATTCATCTACACTTCATAAATTATTTTGTATCTCTACTTTAACTATATAAAACAGATTCGTGTTAAGAGAACTGCTAAATATAATTTTCCCATGTACTAATCTTTTTATAAAAATTCTGAGTCAAATTATGTTAGAAAATTATTTAATATCTCATTTAAAATTTTATTTTATTTTTCCCCTTTTGTTTCCATAATGCTGATCCAAATGAAGTACACTAATGTATAAAAGAAGCACAATATAATTATTTAGAATATAATAACATAACACAAATGAATTATTAATATTAACATAAATTATTACATATTTAACTATAATTTGTATTTACACTGTTGAAAAGATACAAAAATGTAATTGTTGCTAATGCTGATGCAACTAAGACAAAACTATATGAATGATACTGAATTAATATATTACGACGTGTTACTAGAATACTCGAAATACCATCTACTGATTCACTTAATATATTAGATGCGGAAGCTGAATCACGTACTGTATGTTCATATGACTTAATCTGATACTAACTTTTTAATATGAAATTTCATGTATCCATGTTTTTCATTTCTTGCACCCTGAAACCTGCTTTACATTAAGCTTAACTTAACTCCTTACAAGCATTTAAAATGGTCAGAAGAATATTTGGGTCAAATTTTTCTTTAGAATTAAAAATAAAGTTCCCAATTTTATTCAACATTTTCATATAGGCAACTAGTTCCCAAACCACCTTAATACTTGATGTAAATAAATTTAATATGCGTAAGAAATTTTAAATACATTTCCCATTTCTTTTTATCAAAACTATTTCATTTTGTATATTTATAATATCCAATATTATCATGTAAATTTTTCTATTCTTTCCAATTGATTAGGGGTTTCTGGTAAATAACATCAACACATTCCTACATTATATTAATTTTCAAATAATAGTGATGCTCATTTAACAGCTTTGTATCTAGAATATTCGTTTTTTAGTTCTTTCCTTATATAATGTTTCTTCCCTAATTTATTTTGTAACTTGTTCGTAATGTTTAACAACCATTTGTTGCATTAATTTCAATGTTTCTTTGATACGTACATATGATTTACAATCTTTTTTTGCAAGGTTTCTTATCCTCTTCGATAATGTTCTCTAAATTATTATATCAATAGCATTATAATTTATGATATGAAATTTAGAAAATACTCCATATTTTTTAAAGTATAGTAAACTTGAAAATTTTTCAAACGTTTAATTGGTTATGAAATATAAATAGTACTAAATAAATTTATTCTTCCTTATGAAATAGAGTCTCTCACTATTTTTCAAATTACAAAAAATATTGATATACTTGTCTATCTAAACATTAAAAGCATGAACATATCCTACCTATATTATTTATTGTTATCACCTCATTTTTATATAAGCTAACTACATGAAATAATGATGTTCGTATATTGGTGCCCATTTGTTAATGGTATTTAATAATATAAAATGTACTGATAAGATATTCATCACTTTAAATTTTTTATAAAAATAAAGATATAAATTATAAGGAAAAATATTATTTAACTAAAACCAAGCTTTTCTATTGTTTTATTACTCCATATAAAATGAAATTTTTTAATTATTCATGAATTTATTGGGTAAATTATTCTTCTGCATATGTATAAGTACAACAGAGTATCATATAACGCTGTACATAATATGCAATATATCAAACCATTGTCATTTTCTCTCCATACAATATGTAACTTGTACATGTCTTTAATGAATATTTGTATCTTTTAAAATATCGTCTATCAAAAGGGCTTCTTATAATAATAAGTATACCTTCAGTATATAATTCATATCTTCATTTTTTCTTTAAAAAAGAGTATCTCTTTATTATTATTCTATTATCGCATTTCAAGCGTTATTAATGTCAATTATTTAATTATACATTTTTCAAAACAGACGCGTTAAAATTTTGGTGTCACTATGACATAAGTATTCATCATAAAATGATAAATGTAATATAAGTTATTTTATTTCTGTTTCTTGTATAAATGGCAAAAAAATTGTCACAAAGTTTTATAAATTCTATGGACGTGTTATTAATTATTGTGAATTTTACAGTAAATAGTATAGCATCGCTGCTCATACAATTTATGTACTAGAAAAATGTGTTTCCTTCCAGTACCCAATTTTAGACATCCGATAAATAAGCGATTAAATATTAGTATTTTTCTATATACATATAAAATAAATTTTTTTCGATAAATGATATGAAAAAAGATGGTATTTTATTTAATTAATAATTACAAAAAAATTAAAAAGCAGTTTTACACTTAAAAGAATTTTGCTCTGAAGATCACTATGATATAAAATCTTTTATATTTTCCCTTAAAAGGAATTTAATTTTATTGATAAATAAAACACATCTTGCATGTATTTTTTCTAAATATTTAATTTATTTCTTTTTCAAATAACCATAGAAGCTCTAAATATACGTTATTAAAAAATATAATATACAATGTATTTATTACATTTCTTTTATTAAACTCTTACTGTAATTAATCATGTGCATTTTATTTGTTTTAATAAAAACCATATGAAATAATTATGTTAGAGAATTTTAAAAACATTTTACATTATGCATATATTAATTGAGCATACAATTAATAGCTTTTTTTAAAAAATAATTACTGTAATTTATTATTTTATATATGAAATTGAATGTTATTTTTTTGACCTTGCCCAAATGAATACAGATAATTTGAAGTGATATTTCATTCCATTCTTTTTCATTCTATTTATAGTGTAAGTCAGATTTATATATACATATAAAGCATAAAAATATTTTTGCACTTGTGTGCACATTATGTTAATCAAATATCCCTTAACATATGATTATCTTTGCATTTATTTACTTCTGCATATTGATCTTATTTTGATTTTGTTTGATGATTTTTTATCATAAAACATTAATCTTACCTAATGTTCAAATAATCAAAATAATAATGGGAAAACAACGATGGAATCATTATAATTAATGTCAAGAACTTCAATCTACAATTTGCAAAACACTGGCATTCTTTCAATATAATGTGCACATAACATATTAAGATGATTTCAAACCATCAAATTTTATGGGAGGGGGAGGAAATATTCTTTTACAAAGTGCCCTGAAATTTGAATAATAACTAATAATATATTTGGAAAAGCTCAAGACGATTAACAAAATAATTCTTTGTATTGTGAAATATAAAAAGATATTTTCCTTAATGATTAGTAAGCCATTAATTGCAATAGGAAGAGTATAAAAAAAATTTGTAGATGGACACATACGACAATAAATGAACTTATAGTCAAAATTCCTTATTTAAGACATTTATAAACGGCATAAAAATGATCAGTTTCTCATTATAAATTAAAAATATTTTAAAAACATAAAAAATATGTCTAAAAATACCATAAAATAACCAAATGAATAGACACATATATATAACAATCAAAAC